GTATATTGGCATGAAGTTTGACAAGTAGGTCAATGAAATAGCATAGAGTCCTGAAATAGATGCACACATAGAGGATCAATTGCTTTTTAACAAAGATATAAAGTCAGTTCAATTAAGAAAGTAGATTAATTTCAACAGATAGTGTTGGAACAATTGGATATCAGCATGCAAAAAAAAGACCTTTGTATACAAAAGTTGACTCACAATGGATCACATACCTAAATACAAGAGCTTAAAACCTATAGCCAGAATATTAAGTCTCAGAATTTAATAATAACCCAATTTAAATAATGGACATAAGAGCTGAAGACACTTTACCAAAGAAGATATACAGAAGACAAATATACACATGAAAAGATACTCAACCTCATTAATCTTATTTATTTATTTATGGAGACGGAGTCTCACTCTGTCACCTAGGCTGGAGTGCAGTGGTGTGATCTCAGCTCACAGCAACCTCCACCTCCTGGGTTCAAGCGATTCTCCTGCCTCAGCCTCCCGAGTAGCTGAGATTACAGGCACACATCACCATGCCCGGCTTTTTTAAAATATATTTTTAGTAGAGATGGGGTTTCACCGTTTTGGCCAGGCTGGTCTCAAACTCCTGACCTCGGGTGATCCACCCGCCTTGGTCTTCCAAAGTGCTGGGATTACAGGTGTGAGCTACCTCACCCAGCTGACCTCATTAATCTTTAGTGAAATGCAAATTAAGACCACAATGAGGCCGGGTGCAGTTGCTCATGCCTGTAATCCTAGCACTTTGGGAGGCCAAGGTGGGCGGATCACCTGAGGTCAGGGGTTCAAGACCAGCCTGGACAACATGGTGAATCCCTGTCTCTACTAAATATACAAAAATTAGCTGGGTGGGGTGGCACACACTTGTAATCCCAGCTACTCAGGAGGCAGAGGATGCAGTGAGCTGAGATTGTGCCACTGTACTCCATCCTGGGCAACAGAATGAGACACCATTAAACACCTCTAAGGATCGTCTGAAACTGAGAAGACCATATCAAATATAATCAAGGATATGGAGTAACTGGAACTGTGATGCACTGTGGTAGGAATGTAAAATGGTACAACTGACTTGGAAAACAATCTAGAAGTTTCTTAGAACGTTTAACATGCATTATAGTCGTCTCTCCATATCTGCTTTGGAACCTGTGGATACAAAGGGCTGACTGTACTACCTCTTTTTATTTATTTATTTATTTATTTAGAGATTCTGTTTTGCTTTCACCCAGGCTGGAGTGCAGTGGCGTGATCTTGGCTCACTACAACCTCCGCCTCCCGGGTTCAGGCAATTCTCTGCCTCAGCCTCCTGAGTAGCTGGGATTACAGGTGCCTGCCTCCATGTCCGGCTAATTTTTTTGTATTTTTAGTAGAGATGGGGTTTCACCAAATTGTCCAGGCTGGTCTTGAACTCCTGACCTCGTGATCCACCCATCTTAGCCTCCCAAAGTGCTGGGATTATAGGCATGAACCCCTGTGCCCGGCCACTACCTCATTTTATATGAGAGATGTAAGCGTCTGGGAATTTGATATCCAAGGGGAGATAGAGTCCTGGAACCAATCCCCTGCGGTTGCTGGAGAGCCGTACTTATCATTTGACCTAGCCATTCCACCCCTTAGTATTAACACAAGGAAAATTAACATGTATATTTCCATACAAAGGTTTGTTCATCAGTGTTTATAGTGACTTTGTTTATAATAGCCAAAACCCAGAATTATCCCTAATGTCCACCAGCATGTGAATGGATAAACAAATTGTGTTATACCCATATAATGGATTAGTATTCAGCACTAACAAATAATGAAGTACAGATACATGCAAAAATAGGGACAAATAATTATTTTTGTGCTTAAATAATTATGCTGAGTGAAAGAATCCTGATTAAAAATAATCTTTGTGATTCCACTCGTATATATAATTCTAGAAAATATAAACTGATCTGTAGCAAGAGAAAGCAGATCCTTCATTGCTTGGGAATAGAGGGCTATGGGGAAGGGCAAAGGGAGGAAGACCAAGGGTCCCAGGAAACTTTTGGTGATGATAGATATGCTCATTGGCCTTTTTTTTTTTTTTTTTTTCATGAGACAGGATCTTGCCTTGTTGCCCAGGTTGGAGTGCAGTGGTATGAACGTGACTCACTGCAGCCTCGACTTCCTTGGGCTCAAGCGATCCTCATGCTTCAGCCTCTCAAGTAGCTGGGACCACAGCCATGCACCACCATGCTTGCCTAAGTTTTGTAGTTTTTGTAGACATGGTGGCTCGCCATGTTGCCCAGGCTGGTCTCAAACTCCTGGGCTTAAGCAGTCCTCCTACCTTTCCCTCCCAAAGTACTTTGACTACAGGAACTACCACCTCCCCTGGCCCATTTGTTATCTTTATTGTTGTGGTAATGTTATGGATGTGTGCTTATGTCAAAATGTATCAAATTATATACTTCAAGTATGAGCAACTTATATGTCTATTATGCTTCAATAGATCTATTTTTAAGCAAACTTAGGGAAGTACAATGTGTACTAAATCAGATTACAAAATCATTGTGTTTTTTGTTCATAAAGAGAATTGTTGAGACACATATTCATGTGCCTACATGGTATCTCCAGTGGGATATTTTTTAGGCATCTCCAGACTGAAATCCCTGAAGCTAAACTCTTTAAAATTAATCTCTAACTTCTTTTCCTCCTTTCCTCTCTATTCTGGTTTTGTTTTCTTGTGGGTGTTTTTTTTTTTTTTTTTTTTTTTGCATCTTTATAAATAGTATGCCCATCTCCCCGTTTTTCATGCAAGAAGCTAGGAAATCATCTTTGATATTTATGTTACCCTCTTATCTACTTTATCACCAAGTTGTGTCATTGAGAGCACATTTCAAATTTGTAATCTCGTCTTTCACCACTACCATTACCCCGGTTCAAGTCATCATCCTCTCACTAAAAGCCCCTTGGTGTTATTCTTGACTCCCCTCAATCCAGTGATCAGAAAACAGCCACAGCAGATCTTTTCAACGATTTGCATTGCTCTTAGGATACAATCTAACATCATTTTAATATGATCAGTTCCTCTTTTCCTCTTGCTTATTATGTTCTGACTACTGTTATAAATAAAGTTTCAGTGCTGCAAAAAAAATAGCACTCAAATATAAAATTTTCTTTTTAATTCTCAGCAAGGCAAGGTACTTCTATAGAAGGGTGCGCCCTTATAAATGGAGCAATGGTGGGCACCCACTTGGACAAGGGAGGGGAAGGGGTTCTTATTCCTGATGCATGTAGCCCCTGCTTCTGTGTTGTTCCCTTATTGGCTAGGGTTAGACCGCACAGGCTAAACTAATTCTGATTGGCTAAGGAGAATGACTGGGTAAGTGGTTTGGCGGGAAAAATGGGTATGACAGAGCAGGTAATCAAAATGAGTCAAGATGGAGTAGGTAACTGGAATGAGTCAGGGTGGATCAGGTAATCGGAATGAGTCAGAGTGGAGTAGATAATCAGAATGAGTCAGGGTGGAGCAGGTAATGAAAAAGCTTGCTTTATGAGGAAGTTAAGTATGTAAGTAGAAGGCAGAGAATTGAACATGCTGACATATTGATTATTTGAAAAGAAATTTAGAACTCATAATACTACACTGGCTGCATTTCAGTTTCTTGAAATCTCCAAACTCTTTTTACTACAGGATTTTCTCACATGGTATTTTCTGAACCTGCACTAGTATTTTTGTTTGCTCGCTTAATCTTTCAGTAGCTACTTCAGTCTGTGCTTCAAGTGTCAGTTTAAATGCCTCTTCTTCAGAGAGACTTCTTCCTGACTTGCTCAATCTAGATTGGAACCCACACCAGTACCCTGTAGGTTTTCTTCATAGCTGTTATTCAGGGTGTTTTGCTTCTGGGTTTTTTCTTTTTTGGAGGGAGGAGGTGTTAAGTTGGATGTATGGGAGATTATTTGTTCCTGTAGTGGTCTGAAAAAGTCCTTGAAAGTTGATATCATGTATGTTTTGTTCACTGCTGCCGGTGGCCACCATCCAGCTTTCCCTGGTGCAATCAACATTTGTTGAGTGAATGTTTAGAGAAAATGTGTTGGAAGTAAATATATCAGTGGTTGCCTTTGAGTGGTGCATGTTTGGTTTTGTAAGATTACCACAGTGAGCCATAATAACTTTCAAATCAGAAAAGTTATAAAGTATCTCTGTAACTTTGTGTATACTGTTTGCCTTTACTAGAGAGGAAAAAGCAAATGATGTTTTGGAACTTTGGATTCTTGCTCTTGATACTGTTAGAATATTAGTTACTTGATATATTACTTGCCTTTTCATATTTCTGAGTTGCGCAGGCATAGGGGGCACTGTTTATATTGTATTGTTTATGAATGGGAACTTCTGGATTAGTGTGAAGCAGAGACTCTTCTTTTAGTACCATTTTTAGGTATAGTTTGCCTGGAACTGTGTTTATGCTTCTCTCCTGGATTGCCTACAATGTATATACCATCTTGCGCCCTTTAGCTTAGAAAGTCTTTCTGTATGTCTCTGTTTTTGTCACATTTAAAAAAATAAGTCACCTTTAGGATATATTGCATTCTTTATCATAGTTTTGACCAATGTCAACTTAGGAGAAATTTAAGATTTTTTGAATTCTTAATATTAATCTCTGACAGCTCTGGGGCTGGGCATTTAGTGAATATCCTCTAAACTTTTTAAATTTTTACTGAAAATCACATATTTCTGTTTTCAGAAATTTCAAAGCCGTAGGTATCTTTTTCTTGTAATTCTCCACACTGCTTCAGAAATGGTAATAGGTTTAGTCCTTCCAGGTTCTTCAAGTATAATTTTCAGAGAATTACTAACCTGACTGAGTAGCTTAGTATATTTATTTTTTACCCATACTTTAAATGAACTTTTTCTCACCTAGCAATGCTTTTTATAATTTTGTTTGTATTCTTTTACTTTTTAAGATGTCCTTTGTTAATGTTATTTTGTTTCTATAATAAATGTATGCCAACTGTTTTAACAGATAAAATAATTAGGCACAGGGCTTGTACCCTGAAGGACACTGCACATGCTATCATTGCGGCTGAATTAGATCCAGAATTTAATAAACTTTGTGAGGAAATTAAGGAAGCAAGAATAAAAAGAGGTAAGTTGTAGAAATAAACTTGGCACTGAAGCCTCGTGTGCTCTTTTCAGGCCAAGAGTCCTTCAATGATGTTTCTTTAGGGTTGCTGGTATTGTGAAAGTAATGTATTTAATGTATGTATTTAATTTCTGATACTAATGTGTTATGTAAATTCTCAAAGATACTTTCCAACTTTACCTACTGTGAAAGTTTTAGTGTGATAGTGAGTATTACAGAAATGAAGTGTTTCTTAGTGAAATTTGTTTTGTAGGAGCATATCTTTTTTAAGAATTGATTTCTAAATGGATTTAGATATTAGATATGGAAAGGTTTTATTTTTCATCAGTTTACTTTCTGGTACTTTAAAAACATGTTTAAGAATACTGTTTTTCCCACCCTAGTGAAATTTATATGCAATTTTGTTATTAGAAACACAGAATTAGCAATTGTGGTTTGTCGATTCAGTTTATAATCTTGTCCTTGAGGAACTCACATTTTAGTAGGAGAGAGAGAAATGTAAAACAAATCAAGTACAGTGTGTTGTATGCACTGGTTGAAGCATGTTCAGATCACAGAGACGAGAGACCTCCTAGTAGGGAACCAGAGTAAGGAGTGAATATAGAAGTGTTCTCTTTAATGGACTAGGGAGGCAGTGACAGAGGAGGAGGAGGTGTATTGCAAACAGAGAAAACAATAGCATATGTAAAGGCACACAGGTGTGAAATAGCTTGATGTGTGTTAGAAGATCTTTAAACTGGTATTGCTAAAGATATACAGAATGCTGGAAATAGGGCTCAAGAGGTGCGGGGTCCAGGACACAAAGATTATGAAGAAACTTTTCTTCTACCTTTTTAGAGAGCTTTTCCCTGACCACCTAATCTAATAGAGGCTTTGGTAGCATTTGGCATTATATTATTATTTTTTTTTTTGTCATGTCCTCCTTATTTAGGGTATCAGCACTTCAGATGTCTTGTTTATAGCTTTACTTCAATCCCTAGAACCCAGTCTGATATAAAACAGGTTTTTGGTAAATATTTGAATAAATCAATGCCATGCTAAGGAGTTTGTACTTTATCTTGTAGATCAGTGTTTTCAAAAATGTCTGCCTATTACCATTAGCTTAGACCTATGAATTAGATTCTCTGAGAATATTAAGGCCAAGAAATCTTTATTTGAACAAACTACCTAAGAGATTTTATGTACACTACAGTTTGATAGCCATAGGCAATAGAAATAATTGAAGGATTTTAAGCAGTGAAATGAATTGGTCGAATTGCCTTGGTGGGAAGAAGTAGCATAGTTCCAATGTGCCAGGGTAGGAAGATGAGAGATCAGTTTAAAAGCTGTTGGAGCCCATTTGAAAAGGGTTTGGCAATTTCTAAAAAATTAAACATGGATTTACTATATGACCCAGTGATTCTACTCTTAGGAATCTACCCAAGAAAAATGAAAATACATGTCCACACAAACACTTGTATGTTCATAGGACCATTGTTTATAATAACCACAAACTGGAAACATCCCAGATGTCTGTCAGCTGGTGAATGGGTAAGGAAAGCACAGGATACCCATATGAGTGCGTACTACTTAGTAATAAAAGGGAACAAAGTACTGATACACAGTACAACATGGACAAATTTCAAAAACATGCTGGCTGAACATGGTGGCTCATGCCTGTAATCCCAGCATTTTCGGTGGCAGAGGTTGGAGAATCGCTTGAGCCAAGGAGTTTGAGACCGGCCTGGGCAACATGGCGAGATACCATCTCTACAAAAAATGAAAAATATTAGCTGGGTGTGGTGGTGTACACTTGTGATCCCAGCCATTTGGAAGGCCGAGTTGGGAGGATTGCTTGAGCCCAGAAGGTTGAGGCTGCAGTGAGCCATGTTCATGCCACTGCAGTCCATCCTGGGTGACAGAGCAAGATGTTGTCTCAACAAAAAAAAACCCCAAAACATTATGCTAAATAAAAATAGCCAGACCCAGAAGACTACATATTGTATGATTTCTTTTATATAAAATGTCCAGAAAAGCAAGTTTACAGAGACAAAAAGTGGAGTAGTGGTTGCCTGGGACAGTTATCTAAAATTGGATTGCTGTGGTAATTTTACAACTCTGTACATCTACTAAAAACTATTTACTGTACTCTTAAAACAGGTGATTTTTATGTTATATAAATTGTATCTCAGTAAAGCTGTTGGGGAACAAAAATGAAGTAGGAAGGGAGATAGAAGAGATTAATGTAAGTGATATGTAGCTGCAGGGATGGAGAGCACTGTGAAGTGAAGGAAGAGTAAAAACTGGCTGTGATATTGCTGGTTGAGTGACTTGGTAGATGCTAATACTCCCAATCTAGATAGGGAATATATAGGAATGAACTGTTTTGTTTTGTAGGGAAAGATAAACCAGTTATCTTTAATTTGATCTATCTTTAGGAAATTCAGTTGGAGATATTAACTAAGGAGTTGTATATATAGATCAGAAGTTGTATATATGGATCAGAGATGTTTGGGCTAAAGATACAGATTTGAGAATTATTGTATAATAGTAATCGAACCTGAACACGATACTTTGTTGGGGAACGTGTAGATTAGAGTAAGAAGAAAAGTGGTTACAGAGAGAACCTGAAGAAAAACCAACTTAAGGACCACATAGAAGAAATAAATCTCTAGTGAAGAAAATTAAGATAGAATGATTAGTCTTAGGATTATAATGCAGGTCAACCAAACTGACTGCTGTGTGGTGCGACAGGAAGCAAATAGCATTTTGAAACAGTTCGTGGGAATGGGGTTTAGTGGCCCAGTAGACTGTTGTACATTCTAAGATGGCAGAGATCATGTTTTTGGATAATGTATAATCTTATTGTTCTACAGTCATAATAATGTAAAATGTGCCCCTTTGTGAATTAAAATGAATAAAAATAGGGCCCCTTTGGGCATTAAGGGTAAACATGGCCTGCCAGATTGTTTGATTTTTATGATTTTGTATCTAACTTTCTTACCCATCTTAAAACAAAAGACACTGCTTTCATTGGAATTGCAAACTGCCCAAGTATAACTAATGACTTTAAAACTCAGTTTTGTATTTGAGATTTTTAAAAAACCTTTTGGTTTATGTAGCTGGGAATATTTAAAGAGGTATTGCTTATCTTCTGCTTGCAGGCTTATCAGTAACATCAGAACAAATAAATCCTCATAGTACTGGAGCTCGGAAGACAGAAACTAGAGTTGAAGAGGCATTTCGGCACAAACAAAGAAATCCAGTGGATGTCTGGCACAACTCTGCAAATAAATGTGCATGTGAGTATTTGAGCTCATGTTATCCAGTAGTGAGAACAACTGAGAATGATGTAGATATGTTAGGAATTTGGTACAAACCAAAGTGCTGCTGTTTTCCCACAGCTCTTTTAATCTCTTTTCAGAGGTGAAGAAGAGCTTGTGGGGTAAATGCTGAATCAGAAATATATTTCTTTAACTCTATTTGATGTTTTCTATCCCTATTCAATATTATTTGCTATGACAGTTGGATTAGGCTTGAATATTTTCAGTTTTAAACTTTAGTTTTCGGATAGCTATTGGAGCCAGTAGAATTTTTATCCGCCCCTGTCCTTATCCTCCACTCCTCCTTTTTACTTTGAGATGGAGTCTGGCTCTGTCGCCCAGGCTGGAGTGCAGTGGCGCGATCTCGGCTCACTGCAAGCTCCGCCGCCTCCTGGGTTCACGCCATTCTCCTGCCTCAGCCTCCCTAGAAGCTGGGACCTACAGGCGCCTGCCACCACGCCCGGCTAATTTTTTTGTATTTTTAGTAGAGACGGGGTTTCACCGTGCTCGCCAGGATGGTCTTGATCTCCTGACCTCGTAATCTGCCAGCCTCGGCCTCCCAAAGTGCTGGGATTACAGGCGTGAGCCACCGCACCTGGCCCCTCCACTCCTTCTTGTACACAATGCAGGATGTTCTCCTTAGGGTGGGAAATGGACACTCCTGCGTGTGGGTGTGTCTTATCTGGCAGCAGGAAATTGATTTTTCTGAGAGACTACTTTGTGTTCAGTGTGAAAAATTGGCACAGCCTTCTTTGTAGTTTTTGTGAGATGTATTTAACGGGAAAATTCGGAGATTTTTTGTACTCATTCAGCGTCTTTCTAATAGCGTCCTTCTGTTTCACTGAAGATAGCCTTCCTTGGAAGATACATGCTGTTATTCTGGTATAAAGGTGATAATCCAGGTTAAGTTCCCTTATCCAAAATGCTTGGGACCCACAAGTGTTTTGGATTTTGTATTTTTTTGGATTTTGGAATATTTGCATTGTACTTAACCGGTTCAGCATCCCTAATCCAAAAATCAGATATCTGAAATGCTCTAATGAGCAGTTACTTTGAACGACATGTCAGTGCTCAAAAAGTGTTGGATTTTGGATACGCAACCTGTACTATGTCAGTAAAGCTAGTTACAATATGTGGCATTGAATTTGAATGAATAAACTATACCCGTCTTTTTAAAGCTTGTCCCCTTTTGGTAAGTGGCATTTGTATGTGAGAAAGTTTGAGAAAGGACTTAACGATGCCATGAAACTGATTAAGCCTGTTTGGCCTAGTTGTATTTCAGATCATGACTTGGATTGTGTAGCATAGTACTTACTCTCTTTAAACTTTGAAATTCTTTCCATTCTATGCATCTGCTACAAATATTGATGAATGAAAATGCATTGAATATTCACTTTAAGAAGTTTTAAGTGCCTTTAAATATTTTAAAAACTGTTTGAATCTACAAATATGAGTTTTGTTTTCTCTTACCAGTAGATGGCATATGTGACCCATCATTTTTCTGTTTTACATTAACTTAAATAATAAATCTGAATGTCCCTAAGGCATAGTTGCTTTCCTAAGGCCTTGGTTTTGGAAACAAACTCAGTGATGCTATAAAAAATTGACTCTAAAGATCGTGTCTCTAAATGGACTTTTCACACAGAGCACCCTGATGAAGGAAGTGGGTGTGGATGTGTGTGGATGTGTGTGGATGTGTGTGTGTGTGTGTTTATGTATATATATATAATTATTTGTTTTTTCTTGAGACAGAGTCTCTCTCTGTTGCCCTGGCTGGAGTGCAGTGGCACAGTCTTACCTCACTGCAACCTCCGCCTCCTTGGGTTCAAGCAATTCTCCCACCTCAGCTTCCCAAGCGACTGGGACTACAGGCACCCATCACCAAGCCTGGCTTATTTTTCGTATTTTTAGTAGAGATGGGGTTTCACCATGTTGGTCAGGCAGGTCTCAAACTCCAGACTTCAAGTGATCCGCCTGCCTTGGCCTCCCAAAGCTCTGGGAGTACAGGCGTGAGCCACCGTGCCTAGCTGGAAATGATATATTAAGCATTAGGTCCACAAATACTCGTATATACTCTTGCCACATGCCAGGTACTGTGAAGATACATCAGTGACTAAAACAAAAATCTCTTCTTGTGGAGCTAATGTGATCTGTTTCTCTTATTTTGCCAAAATTATACCAACCATTAGAAATAATTATGTAAGGAAGAGAAAAATACCTCTAGTCCTACTTCCCAAAGATTAAGAACATTTTCTCTTACATATTAGCCAGGATGAAAGCATCCTGGAGTAACTTGCTTCAGTGGGGCTCCCAGCCTTTGCTTATGTACTGCATGTCAGGTAGTTGAGGTGACTCTTGATTGAGCAGAGTTCAGCTTCATTTTGCTCTAGTTTCATGGCTTAGGAAAGAAAAAGGGGACCTATTGTACTTTCAGTTACATGGTTGGAGAATAAGAGAGGTTACAGTGTCAGGAATGGCCTATCGGGTGGTAAAAACCTAATACTCTTAACTTTCAGAGTCAGAGCAAGCTGAATGCTTTTTATTTTTTATATGGACTAGATTAGTTTTTCTTCTAGCTAATGGGATGTTTACAAATGCCTATCATCTGAGCCTGTGTACCGGATTTTAACAGTAGATTAATACAGAAATTTTCTTCTCTATGATAATTACCCTGTAACTTTAAATTATATAAATAGAAATAAATAGGGGAAAAGAATGAAGAGTTAGTGCTAACAGGATTACAGTTTTGAAGGAAAAATACATGTTGAGCCAAATGACTAAATAAGAGAAACCTTTAGAAGATACATTCTTAGGTAAGAAAGGAGTAATATTTATAAATAAATTTATCCATTTCTTGTGAATTTACAAAGATGCAGCAGTGATTAAAGATGAAAGGATAAAAGAAGTATGTAAATACGCTATATACTGTTGATAGATTCTAAATTCATATTAAGCAGTGTGAATATAAGAAACAAGGGTTGTCATTAAAAGACTATATTCCTTTCTGTCTCTATAAAGCAATTTTTAAATTACAGATTAAACAGCCTACAGTTAATGATTTCATATTTATATTTTCTTTAAAAAATATCTTTGCCCAGGAAGCTTTTCAGCTTTGATGTATTAAACATATATAGTCTTTTTTTAAAGTTAAAATTATTACGTTCATAACCACAGAAAAAATGAATATTTTTATTCTCTGATACTTTCAACAAACTAGTATTTAGAATTTGGGGTGCGATACCAGAAGTGATTCAGCTCTAGCTTAAGTGGTTTGCTTTAATAATTTTTATATTTAAGTGTTCTGAAGAACACTTAACTGTATATGCAAGTGTCCCAAATTATAAAATAAAAGTTAACTTTTTGTTTATTTAAGGGACAGTGAGCTAGACTTGCTTAACCATCTACCTCAATTTGATACATGTGAGAAATTAAAAATTCCAGGGTCCATTAACACCTGGAGGCCCCAGCTGCCTACTCATAAAGCTCAGGATAGTTTTGAGCATCTAAGTGTATAGTCCTTACAACTTTTGTAGGCCTCCCTTTTCACATAAGTGACCAAGTATTTATTTTCAATGTTTTGTTTATGTTGTTCTTGTTGCCTTGATAGCAAAGGGCTTAGTTTTCCTACATATTCTCAAATAACTTTGCAAGAAATTGATGCCGCTGGGTGAACTGTTTGTGCTAGAAGAGATTAACAGTTGGTTCACCAAATTGTCCAAATAACCTTCATAAGGCATCTGTCCATGGTCATACTTAACTTTGAGTGATTCCTTTTTCTGAAAGGAGAGGTTTCTTTGTGAGGATACCTTTAACTGTTCCCTTATGCTGTATTGAATCATGTCTTTATTTTCTTTCATGATTTAGGAGCTACCTTTTGCTAGCAAAAACATCCACCTTCCTGGTGGAAATCCAGGGCTTTGATCTGAAAGTATGGGAAATCCCCATACTTTCTGGCAGCCTGGTAATGTGGTCATTCTTTAAATGTGTATATTACATGTATGGCTTCTGCATGTTGAAAATTAGGAACAATTGTAAAGTAGGATCTAGGATAGTAGAATAGATTAGTGCTGAATAAACTCATAACAGGAAATACATTCAAAAATGTTTTATTCTGTAGAGTTCATCCCTGACTTCATATCCATTCCATTTGTAGGTTGCAAGGATTAGTCAGCATGAATGTTAAGAGCTAAGTAGTTTTTGTTTGTAAGTTCATCAGCATGGGTTTACTTTCTTTTGGGTCCTGTTTAATAAACGTATGTAAAATTGGTATTGCATTCCAAGTTCTACATATCTTTTTATCTTCCTTGTAAAACAGTTCGGGTTCGGAGAAAATCAAGGCGGCGATCACAGTGGGGTAAAGGAATTATTAAGAAAAGGAAAGTTAATAATTTAAAAAAAGATGAAGAAGACACCAAATTTGCAGACTATGAGAACCATGCGGAGGACAGGAAATTATTAGAGAATGGAGAGTTTGAGGTAAGCACTGACTGCCATGAGGAAAATGGAGAAGAGACTGGAGACTTATCTATGACCAATGACGAATCATCCTGTGACATCATGGACATGGACCAGGGGCAGAGGCTTAACAATGGAGCAGGCACAAAAGAGAACTTTGCCTCTACTGAGGAGGAAAGTTCAAATGAATCTCTACTCGTCAACAGCAGCAGTTCCTTAAACCCGGAGCAGACCTCCAGGAAAGAGACTTTCCTTAAAGGAAATTGTCTAAATGGTGAGGCTTCCACTGACAGTTTTGAAGGAATACCAGTTCTGGAATGTCAGAATGGCAAGCTTGAAGTAGTTTCTTTCTGTGATAGTGGAGATAAATGTAGTTCTGAACAAAAGATTCTTCTGGAGGACCAGTCAAAAGAAAAACCAGAAACTTCGATTGAAAATCATGGAGATGATCCTGAGAAACTAGAGGCACTGGAATGTAGCAATAATGAGAAGTTAGAACCTGGCCCTGATGTGGAGGTTAAAGATGCAGAACTGGATAAAGAAGGTAGAGCTAATATTTGAAAAATCTTCTGAAGGTTTAAACTCCAGAGTTAATTCATTGCGTATTTTATCTAGTTCCCAGTAGTAATAGTTGATGAATAATTATACCCCTCTGAGAATCTGTTAAAGTTTTCATCCTGTTCTCTAGAAAAGCACGCGCGTGCACACACACACACACACACACACACACACAGAGGCATGCACCAAATTTCACTGTAAGTTTCAGAGGGTGTATCGTTTCGAATGCATTGCTTTACTGGCCACTTACTCTTCTGCCTCCTGCCTGATTATCACCCCTAGCCTCAGGGATTTATGACTGAAAGCTACGTAAATCCACAGGTGTTAAGAAGATGGAATTCCAAGAAGAATTATTGGCATGGGCTGGGTGTGGGCAGAGAAGACTTGGTCATAATAGCAGTATGATATATTCGGAGGAGTAATATAGACCTAGATTAAATTACCACTTTTGTTCATTATAATCATGTGACTTTGAGCTCATTATTTACACTCTCCAAGCCTATTTATTCAACTTTAGAATGGTGGTGTTGCAGGGATTAAATAAATCGTGTATTTTAATTGCCTCTCGTGGTAACTGGCACATACTAAGGTATATTCATTCCAGGCAGTCATTGTTAGTTGAATCCAAGGGCTGTTCAGTCTAAAAGCCTTCATTGCTTTATAAGTCCAGTAGTGGAATAAAGAAGCAGAGCACCATTGTCAAGTTTACCTTGTTCTCAGGGAATCAGAGTGCTCTCCCAGCTTCTGACTTCTTATGGCTACATGATTCATTTAAGAAGCAGCAGAAAGAGGGAGTTAAGGTTTTCTAGCCTGTCTTTGTTTATCATTATTCTTTAGCCCATAGCAGGGTCTGGGGTGAGTTGCTATCTAACCTGCTCAATATACATTTCCTTCCTGGATAGGTACTATTATAGGAGGCTATCTTGAAATTGTATTATTTTCTCTAAATTGTGTGGAGTGAAGTGCACAGCTACAGCCTGGGATTTGGGCTATGTGGGAAAGGTTTTTTTTTTTTTTCTGCCAGTATTTTAAGTCCTTTCGCAGAGTTAGGAAGCAGGAAAATACTCAAAGTCTAAGAATTCCTTTAATGGATAAAGAGAAATTTACTGTTCTTAAATGCCACCTGTTAAACATTTATCTTATTCTTCAATATTTAATACTAAACTAGTTTTCAGAGTGGTATTCATTCTGTCTATAAAGATAGACAGAACTTTAAAAATATGTTAAAGCTAGGGTTAAGTAATGAATCTAACAGCATGGGAAAAGTAGAGAAGGAATCTGGTATGAGACCAAATGGGTGAGGATAGAGGAGTCTTTTTTAATGCTGATTTCTATGAGATTTCCATAAGCGTGCTGAAAAAGGCTTAAATTAACATTGTGTTCAGTTGGTGATCTAAAAACTGTAAAGATAATTGTGTAAAAGTTTGACCTGAAACTTTCATTTGGAATTATCAGGACAGTATCCTAATCTGAGTTTTCAGGCCTCTAGAAGTCCATGGATGTAGTAATGAGGATCAATATGATTTTAACAAAACTCCTAGCATATGGTAATTGAACTATAAAGTCTTTCACATTAAAGGCAGCCTGAAATATAAAATTTCTCTGATATATCATGATACATGTTTTTGAAGGTAATACTTTGGTTCTTTTGCTGTTTGTTTTATAAAGCAGGCATTGAGAAGGAGGAGGAGTTTAAAGACTTGGGTGTAAGAAATAAGAGGACTAATGTAGGATGGAGGCAGGTCCCTGCATTGGGACACTTAATAAATACGTTCTCCTTAGTGTCCCTGACATGGGCCGCATCCTGTATGAAATTCTGGAACAGTCCAAGTTTGTCTTTGTGTTCCTTCCCCTCCCTCACCCTCCTCTTAAGAGTAGTCCTACTTAGGGGAGCACAGGGCTCCATGGTCTACCCCTCAGAGTGCCTTGGTCCATGAAATTATGCTTAGCCACCTTAAAATTTCTGTTTGTTTAGTGTGGCTGGTCTCAGCAAAATGTTAGAAGGAAAGTAATTAGATTATACTGATTTACTCTAAGGTAGGAAAGAACACAAGCCCTTTTACACTTTTAATGGGTTTATATTTTTAAGAAAAAAATGGTAAACTTTGGATCAATTTCTAATAGAATTTTAGGCAGTGTAACATATAAGAAATTTCAGGCAATGTTTTAGGTTGGGAGGCAAATATGTAGACAGGTGGGCCCCACTTTTGTTAGTATCTACTTTTCTAGGTTGCTTCCCTTCTTCCGGTTCTGAAAGCTCCCAATTGTAAAATGATAGCTGTAGAGTGAAGGCTGTTTGTAAGTCAGTGCTTAGAGGTGAAGATTGCTTTTATCTTCCTTTTCATGGATATGCTTATTAAGTGGTATTCTAGTATGACTTGACTTTTTAAGTTGTAGCTTAGTTTTCTTTAATTTGGTTTACTTAGTCTTACCAATAAAAAAAAAATCTACCACATTGGGTTGCTTTAAAAAACATCACTTAAGAATACACCCTTCCTCATTCCAAAAGGGATTTGTGGTAGGTAAAAGAATTTATAGCTGCTCAAGACTGATTTTTCTTAACTTTTACTTGCTGCAGTATATTTTTTGTCTCAATTGTAGGTGCTTCTAAAGTAAAGAAATACCGTAAATTAATTTTAGAGCAGGCAAAAACGACAAGTCTGGAACTGGTTCCAGAAGAGCCATCTGAGCCTGTGCCTCCTCTTATAGTTGATCGTGAGAGATTGAAGGTAAGCTTAGCTATTCCCAGTCAGTTTTAAATGAATGGACGGAGATTTGAATGTATTTGTAGGCAATTGAATAAAACTAGTTTTCCTGCTTTAACCCTGAAATATAAATGCCTCAGAGCTTCTAGTAAAAAAAGAGTTACGTGTATTTTAAGGAGTTGAAAGATACGGGAATAGTCCAAGATATTCTAAGGGAATAATTTTAAGCCCTCGAATCTTTTAATTTCATGTTCACTGTTACATCCTAGCTTTATGGTGTTTATTGACCGGCCATTTGAATATACAATTTCAGTTTGACCAGTGAAATCAAATTACATTTTATTCTCTTCTATTTTTTCTTAGAAATTGCTTGATTTGTTGGTGGATAAAAGCAACAATCTGGCAGTTGATCAGCTTGAGAGACTATATTCTCTTCTTAGTCAGTGCATCTACCGTCATCGTAAAGATTATGACAAATCACAACTTGTAGAGGTAAGTGTTCAGTTTATCAGTAGAATAAACAAATATTTGCTTTTACTTGTTCCAAAGAAAAGAGAAAAAAAAGTTATTTTGCCTACATCTATGTCTTTCACCAAGTAACTGAAAAATGTTTTGAAGATTTAAGACAAGAATCTTTAAGAGTTACAGTTTGAAGAATAAAGCCTTTCTGTACCATTTTGTCTCTGGAAAGAAGTAATCTGGGGTTCCTTTTTTTTTTTTTTTGTCAAAACACAGACATCCATGGTTCTGGGTTGGTAAATATGGAGAAGTAGTATATCACAGTTCTTTCCCTACTTGCTTATAACTGACATGCCAACTGAGCCTATCACTTGGGCTTGTTGGATGTGGTCATGGCCACACACTCCTTATCACTGCTTTCTAGGTAGCCACTGCCAATGTAAAGGCATTGGCATGGGCAGTGAGACCTATTTGCCATTAATGGTTGGAAGATAACTCAAAAGTCATCTTATTTTAGTTAAATCTAGTCCTGTAAATTAGCCATATGAAGAAGTGACTGTCCTTTTGCTTAGATACTTTTAGAGATGAGGCATTCCCTTTCTAGACAACTCTGAACCAAGGGAACTTCTTCCCATATAAGTATGAGCTTATATCTTTGTTTATATAAGTTCCATCATTAAACCATACTTCTGCCTTTTCAGGTCATCTGAGCAAATGTAATCACTCATCTACTCACAAAATGGCTAAATGACTTAATTCAGCTCTCTTTGTTGATTTTCCTGTTTGTTTGTTTATCTGGGGGGTCTATCTATTAAATGTTTATCGAGTACCTGCAGTGCCAGATGCTGTGCTGGGTGTTTCGAATGCAAAAAATGAGTAAGACAAAGTCTCTGCTCTCAAAGAATACTTTTAGTATATTAAAGATGTATATGTAAAGGATATAGTTATTTCTCATGTGTAATTTTCTTTTCTTATTTGGCAGTATATGATAAAACATTTAGCAGGAGTGATTTTTGTTGACCACATGGAAGAACGTGTTGATCAGATGATGATCTGTTAATACAGCCTATTAGTTCTTCAGAGATGTAGAATAGAATTTCTTTGGAGATGTTTAAAGGGAAGGAAAAAGTGCAAGTGTCTTAGATGTATTTGACATTTGCCCACCTGAGTAAAATGTGCGGGGTAGAGTTCTTCACAATTTTTTAAAATTCTAGAACTTCTTTGTTCATATGGTTGCAGTTTTATTAGCTTGAATGCATTAAATACTCGTCACCAGTGAAACATCTCAGTGTGGAACCCTAATAATCTAGAGGCCTAGTTTAGGGAGGGAAGGGATTGATAACAGAATCAGCAGTGAGTGGCTTTCATGGTGGTGGTGATGGAAGCCACTCATTCTGGCTTTTTTTTTAACCCTGTCTTTTCAGCTCTGGTTGGAGTAAATTTTTGCCATAAGTTTCACTAATACTGAATGCGTTCATTTTGCTTTGGGAGTTAGTGAAATATAATGAGGAAGGAAGGGCTCAGTCTCTGGAGTGAGGCTGCCTGTATTCAAATCCTGACTGCCACCTGTTAGCTGTCAAATTATTTATCCCCTCTGTGCCTCTGTTTCTTTGTCTGTAAAATGGGCCTCATAGTAATACCTATGTTCAACCTTCAATGTTATGGGAGTTAAAACTATATATATATAAATTATATATATATGCATACATATAAATACAAATATTTACTTATATTTATGTATTTTATATATAGAAATTTCTTAGTAAGTATCTGGTGTAATAAGTTACTCATCGAGTGTTGCTATCATCATCCTTATATTCATATTATTCATATCCTACCTCATACTGATACTACTGGCATAATAAGTTAGTTATTTGTTGAGTGTGACCATCATCATCATCCTTATTGGCCTAAATATAAAATAGGAGGTACTTGGAAGTGTCTAGGGGAGATAGTCTTAATTAGCTATGGTATTGTAATCAGGGAAATATTCAAAGTTTAACCTGTATCTCAAATTCATTCCCTAAAAATTTAAAGTGAATTCTTCCATAATGAGGAACACTTTTGTCTTTCCCTTAATAGATAACATGCATTTTTTTTCCTTTTATAGGAGATGGAAAGAACAGTTCATATGTTTGAGACATTCCTATGAACTTTTCAAGATGAGTGGTTTATCCTCTCCAATCTGCTCCTGACAGAGCAGTCTTCTGAGCCATTCAATTTCAAATTGCACCAATTACGTGCAGAGCCTTGGTGTAAAGTGCTCTCTCACTCATTCTTTTTCTCTGTTGAATTTGGTGCTATTGTCTCAGGTACCTGAAACCAACCAGCCTACAAGAACCAAACAGAACTTCAGAAACATGTTGTATTTTCCACAAATAAAAAATACAACCCCACAGCTTGGAGATTTTGGTGCTACAGAAACTGCTCTCGCTTCTGCTCCTCTTTTTGTGCACTCTCTTTTGGAGACTCCTCTCTTAGGGAGCAGACCAGCAAACAGGAGGAAACTGGATGGGGCAGTTCTAACTGTGTTGAATTGTTTAAACAGTGGGCAACTTTTTTTTTCCCCTCCATTTTATCCCTTTAATCATATTTTTCCCCCATCTGGGTAATGGAATGAAACCTGTTTTAGAGTTGGCTATGGTCTATTCTGGTGGGAAGCTGAAGAAACTGGATGAAATTAGGTCAGGCTCTTTAGAACTGCCTTTAACGTGCCTTTTTATTCATTTGAGGAAGATAAGGCTAAAAGGATGGGCTGTTTGAAGCAAATAAATTAGAAATCTTTCTTTGGTCACCACCTTGAAAATAAGTTTTGATACTGTATGTCATTAAGAGACAACCAGTGTTTAGGTATGAAATGCCTGTCTTATTCTCAAAGCTCAATCAAGACACCCAGTAAGCCACATAATATACTAAAATGGTAAGTTTTCTTGTAAGATCTGTTTTGGTTTAAGAAACATGTAATAACAACAATGAATAATACACAGTCCACACACAAAAAAACAAAAAACAAAACTCCACACATTTTGGTATTGCTGACAATGATGAGTAGAAAATAAATAGATAGTGGCCATTCTTTCTTCTGTCAGTGGCAATTTAATAGTTACTCATGTTTGAGTTCCCAGAGAAAAATGGTTTTCATATGTAGTAAATTGTTATTTTTGTTTTAAAGCCAGGACTTGCCAAATGGACAGAAAAGAGAGGAATTCGTCAGAAGCTCCATAAAATTCATTTTCTGTATGCTTAATTGCAAGTGAGCTCTGGTATGGTCCTTGAATAACAGTATTAATGTTTAAATCCCATCTCCTAAGCTTACCTTCACAACTCTTCATTTTGATTGGAAACCATTTTGAATCTTGTTGAGTGATTTCTGTGAATTGTACGTATCCGAAATTAATTATGGGTTACTAGTTTTACAAAAAACTTTCTACAGATTTGGAGACACAGTCTAGGCAGTTGCAAAGAGGCAAAGGGTGCAGTGACTTTTTTTATCAGATGATTTTTAAACAAAAAGATAGAAAATTTTGCCGACAAGTTGGCTTGATAGCTTCATTCATTGTAGCCGTTAGCTGCAGGTGTGTCTTTCCAATATATGCAACACATGTAGTTTGGGTTTTAATTAGGGCAAATGGTCTTGGACTACTGCAGAGATTCTGAGCTACCTCAGCTTTTTGTATTTTAGTTACCAACAGTGTTTACAGAGTCCTGTAATCACTTTGCCACCGTTTACATCCTGAAGCTAAGGTACTTGTCTCCTTGTCTCTGGCTGTTTGTAGTGTGCAGAAAGCATACTTTGGCCGTAGCCTACTGCAGTAATCCAAAGTGCTTCTTTGCATTTACATTTACATCTAATGCCTTCTAATTCTAGCTTAATTTTTTTTTAAATGCCACGTGTTTTCTTTGTACCTAGTCTGTGAAGTTTCCGTAATATCCAGTTAGTCATGTAAGTCAAGATGCTACCCATGTAGACACACTGTATTTTTAAGGTGGGCAAGTGCGATTAACGATGAACAATTTTAAAGGGGAGGTTATTTGAAACCTCTAATTTGATTATTGGGAGGATTTTCATGCTTTCTTTAGTATTTATTACCATCATACCGATTCAGACTATTTTATTGTCTAATACATTAGCATTTTGTATTTTGATGGAAATTGTTACAGAATTTAAAGATTTGATGAAATAAGATGTAGCAGATTTTTTGTAGCAAGTTTCTGGTAAAAGGGTTTTTTGCAAGTCTCAGGTTCTTGCTGCACTATTTTTTTTTAAATATTTATTCCAGTTATTCTAATTCAGAAGCATTCTTTTCAAGTAACAGCAGCACTTGTGAAAGGAAAAAAAACGCACACGTTTCTTATTAGGTTACTAAATTTGTACAATTAATTAAGATTTTAGCCATCAGTGAGTTTGACAAGGGAAATGTATTTATTTTCAGCATTAAAATGCTTCCAAAAGATCAAGTTGCTTTTGTTTGTTTTTTTAACTGTAATGTAGTTGCAGAAATCGGAGGCAACCTCAGTATAGGAACTGCCACTTTGAACAGTTTAGTTCTTAAAGAAAAAGTCAGTCTAATGCCAAGGGGAGAACAATGAGCTGAAATTGTACCAACTCCTCTGGCCCTCTTTCCCTCAATTAAAAAAACACACTTACCAGTTTTGCTTATTTTACAGATATCTGGTGGTTCTATAGTTTAAAGCAGCTTGTGAAATTATCTAAGTGGACTCAATTTTGTTTACCTTTCTGTAAGTTCTTCATTTTTGCTGTATAGCATTGGCAAAAATATGTACAAATTGACCTCTGTTCTTATTTCCTATTGTGAGCATTATAAATGATAAGCTCCTATGTAAAACCTTGCTCTCAGATGAGTAAAATATGTATCACAGCATAGCTCAGCAATAGTTCATGCTCAGCTGTGGGGACCCTGGGAGCTTTTTGAAGATGATGGAACCGCACTAGGGTTGAAACTGATGGCTGTGGAGTTAATTGTGTTTTCGAGCTTGAATCTCACCTGTGATTTTTTTTTTTTTAATGTTGT